GATTCAAAAAGACAGCCGCGTCCTCAGGTGCCAGCCCCTTTCCGCGCACGAGCCCCCTACCTCTGCGCTTTACTTCTGCAGCTCCTCTGGTTCTCAGTGTGCTTTTCTTTCCTTCTAGTTGTAGAATTTACAGTCAGCCAGCCTTCTTGTGGTTCTGGATGATGTCCGTATTGTGTTTCTGAGGTATTATTCAATTGTTGTGAGAGGCAGCAATTTCCCGGTGTTTATCTATGCCGCCATCTTAGTTTCTCCTGGGTCACATTTTCTTGCCCTATGTCTTTAGGATGATCCCTTTACCATTTTTAATCAGCATCTCTGAAGAGATAATCATCTGCTTTCATAAAATCCATAAGTCATAAATCACCCCCACAGGTATATCTACTATTCATATTCATATTTATTCTTATCATTTGCCAAAGTGCAGGCTCAAGTTTGAGGTATTAGTTCAGCTATCTAGGCAGACTGAGTATTAGGCAATAGAACTTAGGCTTCAGTGGTTGCATGTTCAATTATAACAATACTAGAGGCCCGGTGCACAAAAATTTGTGCCCTGGCAGGGGTGGGGGTGTCCCTCATCCCCACTTGTGCCCTCTCACAGTCTGGGACCCCTCAGGAGATAACAACCTGCTGGCTTAGGCCTGCTCCCAGGTGGCAGAGGGCAGGCCCAATCCCTAGGTGCAGCCCCTGGTCAGGCTCAGAGCAGGGCTGATTGGGGAGTTGGGGCGCTGCCCCCTGTCACGTACAGAGCAGGGCCAATCTGGGGGTTGGGGCGCTGCCCCCTGTCACACACAGAGCAGGGCCCATCAGGGGGGGTGGGGCTCCTTCCGTCATGCACAGAACAGGGCACATCAGGGGGGTTGGGGCTCCGTACCCCGTCACACATAGAGCAGGGCCGATCAGGGGGTTGGGGAGCTCCCCCCGTCACACTCAGGGCAGGGCCAATGAGGAGGTTGCGGCTCCACCCTGTCACACACAGAGCAGGGCTGATCAGGGGGTTGGGGCCCCTTCCCTTGTCACGAACAGAGCAGGGTGGATAGGGAGGTTGTGGCCCCGCCATCGTCACACACAGAGCCGCAGGGTGATCAGGGGTTTGGGCACTGCCCCCTGTCACGCTGCTCCAGGGGCCAGGAGGCCTCGCGGCTCCGCTTGACACAGGGGCAGTGAGGCTTCACTGCTCAGCTGATCCCAGTACTAGGAGGTCTTGTTGCTCCACTGGTCCCGGTGCTGGGAGGCATCGTTGCTCTGCTGATCCCGGTGCTGGGAGGCATATTACCCTTTTACTATATTGGATAGAGGCCTGGTGCATGGGTGGGGACTGGCTGGTTTACCCTTAAGGGTGTCCTGGATTGGGTGGGGGTCCCCACTGGGGTGCCTGGCCAGCCTGGATGAGGGGATGATGGCTGTTTGCAGCTGGTTCCTTTCAGGGTGGGCGTCCCCACTGGGGTGCCTGGCCAGTCTGGGTGAGGGGCTGAGGGCCGTTTTCAGGCTGGCAAGTGACTGAAGCTCCCAACAGCTCCTTTTTTTCTTTTTTTTATTCTGGGATTTATTTACCTTCTATGGCTGTCACTGGAACTGAGAGCCAGCTTTAGCTCTGAGGCTTGGCTCCAGCTCTGAGACCTTGGCTGCTGAAAGCAGGGATCTTGGTTTGTTTGGCTTCTATAATTGAAACTCTGTTGCACCTGCAGCTCGGCCAGCTGGCTGAAAGCATGGGACTTGTTTAGCTTCTATACTTGCAACATTATTTCTTAGAGTGCAAGCTCAGAGCCCAGTAGTGGCAGGCGGGGGACCTTGGCTTCCTCCTTCACTGGAGCAAGCAAGCCTGGATGCCGCCTGCCATCTTGGTTGGCAGTTAATTTGCGTATCGCCCTGATTAGCTAATGGGAAGCGTGTCAGAGGTATGGTTAATTGCCATATTTGTCTATTATTAGATAGGATATCCTGGAAAGAGAATACCTTTGTCATTTTTAAGATAAGAGCCATCTACAAGCTATTTTAAGTTAAGGTTGACTACAGTGTGCAAGATTCAGATCTGGCCATACTTCACTCCTGATAGAATGCTAAGCAGTCAGGTGGTTCCCCTTTATTCTTAAGAGGAAATAAAGTTGTAGGGTTATATTTTGAACAACATTGAATAGCAAAATGCAGAGCAAATGGTAGAATTTCATGAGTGGTACAATTGAATATTCTTTATTCTGGCCAAGGACAGAAACTGTCTAGTGCAGGGGTGGGCAAACTTTTTGACTTGAGGGCCACAATGGGTTCTTAAATGGACCGGAGGGCTGGAACAAAAGCATGGATGGAGTGTTTGTGTGAACTAATATAAATTCAAAGTAAACATCATTACATAAAAGGGTACGGTCTTTTTTTTTTTAGTTTTATTCATTTCAAATGGGCTGGATCTGGCCCATGGGCCATAGTTTGCCCACGGCTGGTCTAGTGACAGTTTGTGACCCCCAAAATGTAGTTCCTTGGCAAAGTTTAAGTTTTCTCTAGGTGTTATATGTATGTCTCTGTTCAGCTCGTTTGGGTTAGAGGTATTTGGAGTCTTCGGTAAACTACTTAGACCAGCAAACACAGCAGTAAATTGTCTACATATTGATACAAGGATGGACTCATGGGAAAAAATGAAATCAGTAAGATTATTTTTCAGACATTTAGAGCAGTATGAAGATGATTTTAAATGTCCCTGAACTTTAAACATCTAGGTACATTAATTTTCCCATTAAAAAGTAAATACTCACTATCCTTATATGATGATATACTAAAGAAGGCTGCACATAAATTAACCACTGTGAAATATTTACTTGTTGAGAAAATGAAGGTTTCAGGAGAGTATTCTAATAGTTGTATATTTCATTAGTGCTGTAATTAACCTCTAATGTTGGATATTTAGGTGTTACTGTTATCAATAACAAAGCAGGGAAGACACAAAGGCACAAGGATAGATTCCTACAGGTGAAATTATCAGGTTAAAGAGTATGAATATTTTAGTATATATATTATAGTATATATTGCCAAATCCAATGGACTCTTATCAGCAATAAATCAAAGGTTTTATTTTCATGCCATATTTGCCAGCATTGGATTTTCTCATTAAAAAGGAAAGGGCTGATTTCATGGGTGAAAGTGGCATTTCATTTTTGCTTTGACTTCTATATTGATGAGGGTGAATATTTCTTTATGTAGGTTCTAAGCCAGTGAATTTTATTTTTTGTGAATTTATTTATGTCTTTGGCCCATTTAACTATAAGATGAGGGCTTACAAGTTAAATTATTGTTAAAGAGTTAGTTTATATTAGTATCACTAATTTACAGATTATATTAGGCATAATCCCCAGTCACTCAATTTTACTGAGAAATTCTCTCCCCTATTCTTTGTTTGTTATACTGAGGCATTTTTAAAACAGAAATTTCAGATTTTTATGAACACAAACTTAAATCTGTTGATTTTTCATTGATTTAACACATAGTTCTTTCTCATCCAAAAATTGACTAATGTTCACTTAAATTTCTTAGAGATATTTGTGGGGTTTTATATTTCATTCCTCGATCTACCTGGGATCCTATGAATTTTTTATGTAAATAAGACCGTTTATCTCCCTAACCCAGTACTATGCAGGCTCAGAATGTTTATCTTTTTTATTTGACAGGGATTAACCAATTAACAAATTCATCACTTTGATGCTAATTTTATTTTTCTCAATACTAATCCAATAAATATTGTTCTGAGGGTACTATACTAATCAATTTTTGAACTTTTTAATAATAATTTTTGTTGTACAGAGATTTGCATGTTTGTGTGTGTGTGTTTCAGATGGATAAATTTGCTGAAATATATTAGTGTGGTAAAGTAACTGTATTTTAAAAATAATCACTACTGCCCAGCCAGCATGGCTCAGTGGTGGCCTATGAACCTGGAGGTCACAGTTTGATTATGGTCAGGGCACATGCCCAGGTTGTGGGCTCAGTCCCCAGTAGGAGAAGGAAGATGATGAATGATTCTTTCTCATCATTGATGTTTCTATCTCTCTTTCCTTCTCCCTTCCTCTCTGAAATAAATTTAAAAAATATTTTTAAAATCACTACTTATTTCTTATTTTAAAAGTTATACATATATGCACATTGCATGTGTATATACATGTACACATATGCACATATATTCATTTTAGAAAATAAGAAAACACAGAGAAGACAAAAAGTCTCCATATTGCCACCACTTACCTAAAAGTTGATACAATATGTTCATTTTTTTCTATCATTCATATACAAGAAATCATACCATATGTTTTCTTTGCATTTATTTATTTAAATAGTGCTTAGGTAGATTGTAATAACCAGATAATTACCTAAAAGATGTGTCAATTCAGAAGTAGATCTAGATAAAAACCACATATTACTGTGAATTAATGATTTGGAACAAATTTACTTAAAGTTAATTTATCATCTAATTTCTTTTTCGGGTAGCTTAAGCAATGTCTATTTATAGTATAGGCCAATTAGAGTGGCTAAGTACAACTTCGTGGGTTATTTGAAAACCATCAGTGGGTTAGATATGACTTGGAATGTACATAACCTCATATTTCCTGACTCCCCTAAAAGGTGCTAAGTGAGAGACCAATGAATAAAAGGTAATAACCATTTTAGGTTATTCCTAGAAAATGGTTTTTGTTAGTGTCATGTGTATATATGTAAGATAGGTGTCCATCTTTCTTAGGAAGTTGTGCGGTTCCTGGATACCAAGCATCGAAACCACTATCAAGTCTACAATCTTTGCCGTATGTACATGACTGGATATGTAACTACTATAGATAGAAAATAGATTGCCATATATAAGAAGATGATTCGATTTTTACATTTCATTTAATCATAAGTATGTAGTGGTGGTGGGAAATGAGTGAAAAAAATCTCCATCTTGTGCTGGGCTGAGTTGGACGGGCAGGCAGGAGGCTGAAGTGGAGGTGGAGCCATGTAAGGAAGAGTCTACTCTAATGGTGTTAGGTTTAGGAAAATATTTGTTTTTCTTGCCAGTTTGTGTTTTGAAGACAGACAATTCAACCAATGTGTTCTTTAACCCACTAAAGGTGGAGTGTGAGAAGAGCAGTGCTCTACACAAAAACCAAAACCTTGTAAAAAACATTATATTCTAGTTTACTACTTTGTTTCTTTTGATTTTTTTCTCTTCCTCTATATTAGACATTTTCAGGAGGCATTTTTGTTGGCCACATTTGCTTCTGCTCTCTGATGTCTAACTACCCTAGCATAATGTAATGAGTAGCCTCTAAGTGAAAGGTTCAGAGTGGACCGGGGGAGCATCTATGACATGAGGCCATAATGTATCAAAAACATTTATTTCAGGCACCTGGGTGCAGGTGGGCTGAGTCTGACAAAGGGATCAGCAGAGACTGAAGGAAGAGAAAGTTTTTTATTAATCACTAAAGGCCCGGTACATGGATTTGTGCACTGGTGGGGTCCCTGGAAGTGGGGGGTGGGGGAGTAGGGTGCGGGGGGAATCAGGCTAAAATCGGCAGTCCAACATCCCCCAAGTGATGTAGTACTGCACAAAGTGAGGCTTGCTGCCACTCTGCTGCAGTCTCCACACCTGTCCTAGGGTGACACCAGCATACCCATGACTGAGAAGCAGCCCCAGGCTCATGCCCAAT